AGTCCACAGGTTCATTGCTTATTTTGAAGTGTTTACATTTCCTATTATGCTATGGGAGATACTAGCGTGAGTGAACATGTACATGTACTTATTGTACTGTTGGTATAAGTCAAGGGAGATTGATCTTATGATGTCCTTATGCTGTGTAGCAAGTTTGAGGTGATTCCGACTTCAATTTTTAACGACCTGGGGGCGAAGCCCCCAGGTCGTTCCTATAATTGATTTCACGGTCGCGCTATCTATATATATATATATATATATTTGTATGTCCACACTTACATTTCTTCTATACATGTTGTATTGGAGAAATAACAAGCCTTAGCAACCACCCGCCCACGCTCCTTTATGTGAGTGGGTGTGGTCACGGCAAACAAAATGGCGGTTTACACATGGGACAAAGTTAAGAGCTTTCTAACAGCAAGAGAACATAGAGATACTGTCTAAAGACTTCTTTAGAAGCATTAGAAGGTAGAGAGAACCTCTATAAGTCTTAATAATGACCAAGTTGTACTTGAAAGGTGGTGAAATCAATTATAGGAATATTTTTTACCCTGTTACGCTTGTTTAAGTTACGGCCATTTAAAAAATGAGCCAAAATCTGAAAAATTCCCAAGGCCCATGGTTTTTTCCAAAAAATGGCTCCAAAATCACCCCAAATTTTTATTACAATTTCTGATACATATTGGTGTCCTTATGCTGTGTAGCAAGTTTGAGGTGATTCGGGCTTCAATTTTTCAAGTTACAGCCATTTTAAGAAATTGCCAAAATTCACAAAAATACCCAAGGCTATAGCCCATGGTTTTTTCCAAAAAATGGCTCCAAAATCACCCCAAATTTTTATTACAATTTCTGATACATATTGGTGTCCTTATGCTGTGTAGCAAGTTTGAGGTGATTCGGGCTTCAATTTTTCAAGTTACAGCCATTTTAAGAAATTGCCAAAATTCACAAAAATACCCAAGGCTATAGCCCATGGTTTTTTCCAAAAAATGGCTCCAAAATCACCCCAAATTTTTATTACAATTTCTGATACATATTGGTGTCCTTATTCTGAAAAATACCTAAGGCTTGCTACAAGGATAATGAGGAGAAAAAGAAAGCAGATATGATCAACGGATTAGAGAGGTGGAACATTCTAACCCTTTTCTCTCTGGTTTTTTTTTGTTGTCCGGTGGCTGTGGACCAGTTGCTACACAGTTCATCAAACGACTTTCTTTACTTCATGCAGAGAAATTTCAACGTCAATATACACGTAGCACCGCCATCAATTTTATACGGTGTCGATATTTGTTTTCCATCATTTGCTCCGCTATATGATGTCTTCAGGGATCTCGATTTTTATATAGAGACGTGTCTATCGACTCATCTAAATTCATTAGAGCTGCATCTGTAGCTCATCTAAGTATTACACAATTGGTGGTTCTTTAAAGAAATCGCCAATATAAAATTTGCCAATTTCTTTCCACAAAAGTTTTTTGAAGTTACTCAAAAATCAAGCCAAATTGGCAAATTCCCTGTGCTATACAGGGTCATTGGCCGAATTTCACCAAAAATGAAAACAGAGAATTTTCTACTTGTACTCGTGTTGTGTAAAAATTTTGAGCTAATTCCAATCAAAATTGATTTTTTACAATTTTTAAAAGTTGCTCAAAAATTGAATGAAAGACCCTGTATTATAATTAGTAATGTGGTAGTGTTACTAAGTACAATTCACCCCACTTCAAAATGGCTGCCACTACTTTTGCAGCCTTTACAGGGTCATTGGCTAAATTTTGCCAAAAATGAAAAGAAGGTATTTTATAATTTTATCTGATGCATGTACATGTACTTATGCTGTGTAGAAAGTTTGAGCTGATTCTGATAAAAATTGGATTTGTTACAAATTTTTAAAGCTGTATGAGCAACAGTATAATGTGTATAATTGATGATATCAATCACTGAACAAGCTTTACCTCAGATTAAACAGTCACAAAAATGCACCCACAATTTGTTTTTAGCTATTGATAAACCGTCATCTACTGATCAACTCATAAACTTTATGATGATATGTTGTTTGTTGTTAGTTAGTACTATACACATGTACTCATCACCATCTCCTCTTCCTCCTTTTATCGTCTATGTCCCCTCATCTTCCTCCCCCATCTCTCCCTCTCTTTTCTTTCCCCTTCAGAGAGGTATCCCCCATGTAAGGCCTGGTTTCCATATAGTTGCTGCTGTTGTATGGATTCTGTGGTTAGCATACAACTGTTGTAGAGATAGACCTGATTTCTATCTCCACGATTGTTGCAACAGTGTTGTAAGGCTGCTGTATGGATGGCTATATGAAAACCAGGCTTAAGGAGCAAGAGATATCGGAAAGTTAGCACTATTGATGTACCGTATAGCTCCAAATTTTTGTTGGTCTAAATTTTCGTCAAATTTGTCAGGTACTTTTGCTTGATGAAATTTTTAACCGATGAAATTTTTGTTTCACATGGGTAGTATGTGGATTAATAACAAAAATGACGAAAATTTTATTGATGAAAATTAATTTTTTTAACAAGAAATTAAGATTTTGACGAAATTTTTGACTGACAAAAATTTGGAGCTATACGGTAATAAGGAATAATTATTATTTGTTAATTGTAGATTTATGGAACAATGGAATTCTCTAAAGCAAAGATATCATAAAACTATTAAAAACAATGACTAATAAAAACACTTTTAATGATATTCAAACTTATCCACCAAATCAAAATTAAAATATAACAAAAATTAATAATACTACCTAAAGTATAATCTGTTTTTAATAGTTATATAATAAGGTAAAGAAGAACAAGTTTGTTTATGTTTCTTGTCTAGATATAGTATCCTTAGTGTATTATTGGTCCTGAGAGATTCCATCAGTACCAGTACTCCATCAGTATCAATGTTAGTACGGTGGAGGTAAAGGTAAGATAGTGTGTGGTTGTAGAGTAAAAGTTCAGCTAGTGACTGAGCACTGGTTGAAGTGATGTCAGTATTGTCATTAAGATGTAATCGAGTAATTGTTTTGTTATAAATTAACAATTGTGCTAGTGCAATGACTCCATCATCTTTTATGGAATTGTTACTAATGTCTAGTGTGCCTAATGAAGCATTCCTTGCTATTTTGCGCGACAGTAAAAGGATGACATCTTTTGTTATCTTAGTGTATTCCATATAAATGCTCTTTATTGTTCTTTTATCCAGTACATGTGACAGTAGTAAGCGTACAAGGTCAAGTGATGCGTCATAGAGATAAATGTTCTGATGACTGGCTGTTAGTTGACTGATCACTTCCTGACATTGACCTGCTGATGGTTCAGTGAGAATTACACTATCCTTGGTCCACTTCACCTCTCCAGTCTTTCTTACTAATAATGAACATGATTATAGGCATTCAGTTAATAATTATGCATATAATAGATAAATAGTATTATTAGTGCTATAGCCTAAGGCTCATTTTGCAAAAAATTGAACAAAATATTAACATAACAATAATACAAGCATTACATTAAACTAAGAGAATAAGTATACTCTAAACTTATATAGTTTATGCAACAGCGTTGTATATTCTCTTACAATTTCACTGAGTGTCGCATGATACTGCATTACATAGTTCATGACATATTTAAATTTAACAAATATAATATCTAATAATTAACTCACCTCCAGTTTTTAATAGTATTTCTTTTATTTGAGTGTGTCCTCCTTCATTAGCTATCTCTACTGCACTCTTTCCTCTCTCATCTTTACTGTTAGGATCAGCTCCTAACTGCAGTAGTATTGATACTTCAAAACTATCACCAGCTTTAACTGATTCATGGAGCGAAATGTCAAAATTGTTATCGTCTTCTCTTCTGATAGGAATTACTTTATTGTCAACAGCAACTTCCAATATTCCTAATCTACTCATTGAGTTTGTTTTGTTATTGATGGTATCAATAATAGACTGTGATAGCGAGGTTGGTATTAACAGTGTAATGACAACTGAACCAAAATCAATGTCCACTACGGTAGAAATATCTGGTATTTTATGCCCAAAGTAATGCTGAAGAACTCTTTTAAAATTTTTAAAAGTAATTTCTTCCCATCTGTCATTCAATTTAATAACAACCTTTGTTTGATCACTAGTGGTTGGTGAGGCTACTGCTGGTAATGATGACAATTTCTCTTTGATTGTTGATCGTATGTGCTTCAATTGTGATGATTCTGAAAATTTATCAACACTATTAATGTATTGAGTTAGTTCAGTATGAATATCATCTGATGAGGGGATGAAATGATGTACTAAACTCTTGAGTAACCCAAAATTGAAGAAGTTATAATGAGGTCTAATGGCATTGAATATAGCGCGCATGTTGATTTCCAATAATTTTAAATCTTGCCCCAAATATTCTTCTGCTTGAAATGCAACATCATCTGCTTCTAATTTCTCATTGAAGACAAGCTCAGTAAAACGTTTCCTTATTTTAGTGACAAGACCAGTAAACTGATCATGTAGTGATTCAATACTCCGAGCAACTTCTTCCTTTGAACTGAGTTGTATTACTGTGGGACTTGAGTGGGGCTCAACATGGATTAACTGTGTTTGGTGTGGCCCAATTTTCAGTGATGATTGGTCCACAGCTTTATCACTTGTTATGCTAGTAGGTTCTGTTGGTGAAACTTGTCGACTTACAGTTAGTGATGGTCGACGTGCTTTAGGTGCTGTTGGCAATGGTTGAGGTTGTCCACTTTGCGAAAATGACTTTGGTTTTGGTGCTATTGGGGGATGAGACTTTACTAGCTGTGATGAACCTATTAATTGTAATTGTTATTATTTTAAACCATTGTTGTTGGACTCGCTGCGTAGTTGGACTAGCCACTTTGGCTTGGACTCGCTGCTTAGGCATGTATCATAGATACTTAAATACGCATGGGTGTAAAATATTACCAGAAGCTCCATACAAAATATATGGAGAAACGTCACTTCCTGTTGTCTACATGCACTCCAACAAAAAAAATAGCAAAAGAGGTGAGTTGTCATATTTTTCTAGAGTGTAGTAGGACAGATAGTCGCCTGAGTTTTTTCAATAATAGGTTAATGCCTCATATGAATCAAGAATTTTATTTAATTGCCTTAGGTGTTGAATTATTAACAAAAAATGGAATATTTTGACAATTAACCACCTTAAGCAAAACTTTTAGCCAGTGCACACAAATATTCAAGGAATATCTGCACGAATCCTATTATCTTAAATGTACAATGGACAATGAAGGAGAATTTGTGTGATATTGGCTATAAATGAGGCCAAAACTGTGGCCACTCTACTATTTAACATAGAGAACTTTCATTTTACTTTTTTAATAGACTACTTCGAGCAGCAGAAAAGGGGCTCGAAATGTCACCAAACACCAATATTGAAGGTTAACTATAGGTTCCAAGGAGTTGCTGTTATCTATCGATAATAATCATTATAATTTTTATCTCTTATATTTTAATTTTAAATCTATCATGGACTCAGTATCCCGGACTGTATCACACTTCAAAATATCTGATGAAAGAGAGGCTATGATTTCTGTTAGCTCACAAACACCAAACTTTTACAGTTATTTGCCACTTATTCGCTATATTAATTCTGAATCATTATACAGAATTGTGGTTAGTACTTAGTGGTGCTAGCATCCGGTAGAAACAAGAATTTTTAATTAGATTTTTTAAACTTTTTAAATTAAAAAACCAAGTCCTGTAGACTCCTGGATCTTCTCCATAGCTATATAGCCCAAGCCTTCATTTAACAGCTCAAAATGTTTAAAAAGCAGCTAAAACCATTTTCCAGTAGATTACTACCTTCTATTTCATTAATATATGTGTGTAGAATTTCTTAATCCCTACTTAGTAACGACTAATGCTCCAAATTTCGTCCTGGTCACCCGATTTGGGTAATTGTGAAGTGTTGAGGCAGAAATGTGGTAGGCTAGCAGTACTAGACACTCTCAAATCTTTTTATAATTTAAACATATGTATAAGCAGCAGTATTGCTCCATATAACTTATGATAAGCATAGATATGTGTTTGTATATTAATGTCACAAGCCACTCATAAGAAGAAAACAGTCGCGACGCCAACAGTAAGTTCACGTGGATTTTATTTTCCGAGTGACATCATATGGTGGCTAAGTACAGTGATGGCTAAAGCTGTCTTTTTTGTGTAGTTTTACTAGTTTACATGATGATAAATAAGCTGTATGAAGCAAACTCAAACTTGAAGCAAAAAGGTATAGAATCAATTGGTTAGTTTTTAGTCTGGAATCAAACTATATTTGGTTGTCAAGTATTGTCACTGCTTGGAAAATGGTGTACACTAAATTAGGTATGCAACTAGCCTATTAATAGATCTTTGTGTTGCAAAGTTTCATTTTGATGGTCCATTCTTTCATGCCATGATTGGACTGTTTTTGTTCTTTTTTTACAGATTCCAAACTCAGGATCATTAACCAAGTCATTTTACCTCAATATAATTGTCTGAAATACTTTTAGAGCTAGATTTTAAAATTATAGTCACTTATGTGCCATTGACTTTCAGAGGCCACAGCATCCTTATATATTCTTCTTTAGCTAGCCTACTATCTTGTTGTAAACAAATGGACAGGAAGCTGGGATTGTCTAGAGCACTGTATATGCATTCGGGAAAGTCTTGTCTCATGTGGCTAGACCATGGCTGCCCTCCATGCCATCCCGGAGGCATGGAGGGCGGGCCTGGCCATATAAGACTAGGGAAAGTCAAGGACATCAGTTGCTTACAGTTCTGTTATAGTTTATTTAAATTGGTTGATGTTTTTATGGTGACAAAATATGTATGTTCTGTGTATTGTAGGAGTAAAACTATTAAATGCAAAATAAAGTAGCAACTCATTAATTATTTATGCTGTCAAGTGTACTACAATAAAGTTTTACAGGCGCTTATGACTTCCGTTACCGTTGGCGTCACAACAATCAGTCACATGTCAGCACAGATACTACAGTATCTATGATGCAATCATGCTAAGTGAGGAAGCCACACCTCTATTAATAATTGGTAATTTTACATGCAATTTTAGCTGCTTGAATGTCTTAATGCATAATTATTTTGCTATCTTATGCATGATCCTTTAATTAAATAAAATCTATTAAGACACCAGTATCTGTGCCATCATAAAAAGTGTTAGTTGTTATAGCTCTTTTGACTTGAGTTGGTACAGAACATGCTACATGCACTACTAAAAGTAATGAATTATGCATGGTCATTATCTCCTTCATGCTGCATAATAGTGATGAAGAGTAGAGAGTAGAAGAGAGTAGATAACAGAGTAATGCATAAATGCAAGAGCAGCTGTGGCGAGTCCAAGCACTGTAGGTGTCTCATTAAACTAGTAATGAACTCACTCATAGAAACCAACTCACTCATTCCACATTAATTTTCTCCGTCAATGTTACCTTTTATTTTTCCAGTAGCTAGTCTGATTTCATGTAGCAGTGTTGGTTGTTCTTCAAATGCTTTTATAAGAAGAGACATTCCTTCATCAGCAGTAGCAGCATTTCTAATCTTTCTTATAGTATCAGGATCAAGCAGTGGTAGAGACTCCTCCAGTTGTCCTTTGATCAATAACTCATAAAACTCTATCAATTCAGACACTGTAGGTTTATCATCTGGTATATCCATTAATGCAATAGGAGAGAGTGGAGGACCTCCTATCAATGGCTTGTTTGTACCAGTAGGAGGAGCTGGTCCTTTGTCTACAAAAGTTAAAAATATAATACTGTTATAACAGTTTTCATAACACATTACTATTTAATTCCTTATCATTGTTCAATAGGTTGTCACTACCTGGTCACAACCTTGTAAAAAAACCTTGGATTTGGCATGTTTTTTGGCTTGTGACAACCTTGTCACAACCTTCTCACAATGTATAATGAATTTAATAGAATAAATATAATCTGAAAGACTATCAACATGCATATAATAATTTTTTTATAGTATCAATCAATTAATTATGATAAAACAATAATAATAATAATAATAATAATAATAAAACAAATTTAAGTTTAGTAGAGTAGGACAGGTTAGATTTATTAAACCTCTTAATCCCATGTAGTTTCAAATGATTTCTAGATACTTGTAATGTATCTATGATACATGTAGCTAATGTATAAATAAAGATGTGGATGTGTATTAATAATTATCTTTATTGACTTGTATAAGTGCTGGTCAATGGTCCCTTTATATATGGTAGCAATAGCTTCATATCATCGTGGGGCGCACTTAATGAAACTTCAGTTTCCTGTCAACCTTCGGACAACCTTGTCACAAGGTCGTTATGTTTCTTACATGTTAGTCACAACTTCAGCTCTTTTATACAAGGTTGTTACTAGGTTGCTCACAACTTCAGCTCTTTTATACAAGGTTGTTACCAGGTTGCTTACAACTTCAGCTCTTTTATACAAGGTTGTTACTAGGTTGCTCACAACTTCAGCACTTTTGTACAAGGTTGTTACTAGGTTGCTCACAACTTCAGCTCTTTTATACAAGGTTGTTACTAGGTTGCTCACAACTTCAGCTCTTTTGTACAAGGTTGTTACTAGGCTGCTCACAACTTCAGCACTTTTGTACAAGGTTGTTACTAGGTTGCTCACAACTTCAGCTCTTTTATACAAGGTTGTTACTAGGTTGCTCACAACTTCAGCACTTTTATACAAGGTTGTTACTAGGTTGCTCACAACTTTATCACTTTTATACAAGGTTGTTACTAGGTTGCTCAAAACTTCAGCACTTTTGTACAAGGTTGTTACTAGGTTGCTCACAACTTCAGCTCTTTTATACAAGGTTGTTACTAGGTTGCTCACAACTTCAGCTCTTTTGTACAAGGTTGTTACTAGGCTGCTCACAACTTCAGCACTTTTGTACAAGGTTGTTACTAGGCTGCTCACAACTTCAGCACTTTTGTACAAGGTTGTTACTAGGTTGCTCACAACTTCAGCTCTTTTATACAAGGTTGTTACTAGGTTGCTCACAACTTCAGCACTTTTATACAAGGTTGTTACTAGGTTGCTACAACTTTGCGAGGTTGTGACCTGGTTGTAACAACCTTGGAATTTCTATATGGGTAGTCTCAAAATGAAGGATAATTTTTAAATCTTAATTTCCTTCACATTATGTATGCATAGTCCTCCTGACTAATACCACATGCATTAGATCGTAGACACGTGCCCACTCACATACAAACACAGTCAATATAGTCTCGCTAGCCAGACCATTCCCCAGCCTATAGTCATTTGGGTGGACGGCGCTCCACCCAAATGACTATAGGCTGGGGAATGGTCTGGCTAGCGAGACTACAGTCAATACTAGTCATGTTAACTTACTCTCTTGATCTAACTTGTCAGCTGCAGCATTCTCATTCATAGATTTAAGAGCATCTGACAGTGAGTCAAAGGTAGCTCCTCCTTTACTGTCAACATTATCAGCTCTGGACAACCACTTAGAGAGACACTCAGTTAAACAATCATAAGTTGTATCACTGTCCCTTTTAATGGCGTCCAGTGTGTTCTTGTGTAGTCCTAGTGTCAGTCCCAGCTCATGCCATCTTGTCTGAGGAAAACCACATCTCTTCAACAGATTAAGTACATCAATAAGTTGATCTAAACAAAATATAATTTATTATATAATACGCAAAAGGTATTACCAATTGTCAACTGACATAAAGGAGATATAGAAGAGAAACTTTTAGATGCCATTGTATGGATGCAAGCTAAAGGGAGGGGCTCGTAAAATTGTAATTACAATAATTTAACCTCTAATATGGCGGCTTTGGATCAATTCTTGACGAAGTAATGTTCTTAATCTCTATTTTATGTATATATTCATTAACCAGGTTGATAGGTCTATTAAAGAATGTGATGGTGAACTATTATCAGTTAGTAGTATATTTATACTTTATTGTTCTCATCTCTCTCCTCCTATCCTTTCTTTCATTTTCTCTCTCGTAGGAGCTTGTAGCTTTAAAAGACTCTCATGTATTTAATGTAAGTAATGTAATACATGCTTATTAATGTATTATGTTAGGTAGTGTCAGTCCCAATACAATAGTAATGTGTATTAATGAACCTCTAAAATAAGGACAGGTTCATAATCAGGAGCTAGGGTATTATTGGGTCCCAAGGTGTCCAGAATAGACAGGTCCAACTGTAATACTGATACTACATTATTGATGGTTTTAAATTTTGGCAATTTTGCTCTAGGTGCCAAAACTGCCAACTTTTATTAACCGCCAGCTTTTTCAGATATACAGTATCTCCCTCACTCTCCCTTTCTTTCTCCATTAGCTTCTGAGGCACTTTAGTTTGTCTTCTCTCATTGTCATAAATCTTGTCATCATAATAAGAAGTAAGCATATGTAATTAATTAATTAATTTTATTATTAATTAATAGGCTGATTCTTACTTATCTAATATCATTAAAGATGATGTTTGTGAGTTACTTAATAGTTTTTTTAATTAATTAAGTAACTGATTAATTGATTAATTAATAGGGTCAGATGCCAAGAAAAGAATTATTGGATGAATATAATTTATTACCTTTTTATGATGTAGCACTAACTGTTAGGTGAGGGAGACAGTGTGTGTATAGTATACTGTATGTGCATATACATGTAATGTAGGGAGAATATTAGCAGTTTTATGGTCTAAAATAATTAGTGCTTATATACCAAAGTTTTTATTACAGTTTCAGACACATATTGATGTCCTTATGCTATGTAGAAAGTTTGAGCCAATTGCAACTTAAATTTTTCAAGTTATGGCCATTTTTAGAAATCAGCAAATTTTGAAAATTACCCAAGGCTATAATAGCCCATGGTTTTTTCTGAAAAATGGCTCCGAAATCACCCCCAATTTTTATTACATTTTCTGATGCATATTGATGTCCTTATGCTATGTAGAAAGTTTGAGCCAATTGCAACTTAATTTTTTTAAGTTATGGCCATTTTTAGAAATCATCAAATTTTTGAAAATTACCCAAGGCTATATATAGCCCATGGTTTTTTCTGAAAAATGGCTCCAAAATCATCCCAAATTTTTATTACATTTTTTGATACATATTGATGTCCTTATGTTATGTAGAAAGTTTGAACTTATTCCAACTTCAATTTTTCAAGTTATGGCCATTTTTTGAAATTGTCAAATTTTTGAAGGATATCCCATGGTTTTTCTGAAAAATGGCTCCAAAATCATCCCAAATTTTTATTACATTTTCTAATACATATTGATGTATTTATGCTGTGTAGAAAGTTTGAGCTGATTCTGACTCAGGTCACATTTACACAGCAACGAAAACGATGCAATCCATAGTATAGTTTTGTGCCTGTTTTATGCTTCTGTTTACACAGAAACGTATGAAAACTAATAGAATCTTGATAGAACTCTATGGAAACAAAAACAGTGTTCAAAGTGGATACTTTAAAAACGATGTGTTTTGCGTTGCTATGTAAACGTAGCCTCAGTTTTGGCAATTATTTTGGTGATATTATTTTATATTCTATTTCTCTCTCTCTTTATTCAGTACTGGTAATCTTTATATGTTTGCGAAAGCTTTGGAGGAGCATGAGGTATTAATAACTATTAATTTAACTATTAATAATTATTGATATAACTATTGATAACTATTAATAGCTACCAGTAGCTATTAAAAACTATTAATAACTGATAGGGTTTCTTCATTAAGGCTGGTATTTATCTAATATTGGAAAAGCTAAGGACTGTCGCTTGACAAACCTCTTTAAGAAAGTGTAAATTATTATTTTATTAATTATAAATTTATTATTATTATTAGTTGGATATTGCTTGGCAGAATACATCAGTTAGAATTAAAAGCTTTTGAGGATTCATTGAAATTAAATAAAGTTAGTTTAATATCAACTAAATTATTCCTGTGACTTTATCACATACGTGTGCATGTACATGTATTTATGGGCTATGTAGAAATTTTGAACTGTTGACAATCGCAAGTAATATTTTTGAATTATGAGCATTTTACATTGTAAATACAAGTGGATTTTGGCCAAAACTACTGTACAACAGTTGGAAGGAATTGATTGTCAGATTGGCTGTTGCAGTGAACATCCACCATTTAAAATCTATCTGCTCATTCTTCGCATGCTCAATGACACATGCATGTACATGTAGCTGCTAAAGGCAGGTTTACAATATTACGATAGGCTTGATATTACATTGACACTGGAGTAGGATTTGGATGGAACCATGCATCAAAAGGTCAAATTGCCCATACTTTTGATTAAAAATTGACAATACACTAGCCTAGCATCATATTGTATGTAAACCAGCCTAGGTCATCAATTGCAAATTTTTTAACGAATCATGAAATTTAACTTCTGCCAGTATTTTCAGCTGTATAGCATGATCCTTTTATTAGTAGACTAAAAGAAAATCCACATATTTTTATATTGTATCCTTATCCTTTGTACATTAGTTTTGAGCCGATTCCAATTAGCTTTTGTTGTTGTATTATTATTGTGTATTATGTATTGTATAGGAGGATGAGATTGATGCTGATGAAGTTGAATGTATCATAGCCAATCTTATTGATAAGGTGGAGAGAGTGAGAGATAGAAGAATGGACTATAATTGCTTTTTTGTTTTTTATTTTTAGGGTAAAATAAAAGGTTACATATCGCACAATCATCAAAAACTGGTTGTCAGCAAACAAAACCCATTCCCTTCATTATCATCATTTTAATAATAAAATAATAGATAAAATACATTGTAAAACATTGATGCTGATAAAAGAAGAAGGTATAAATTAGACAATGGTGGAGTTAAAGCATGAAATTCTTATTTGACGAGTTTCAGTAGAGATCCAAGAAAAAAATGTTCCTATTACTGATAACTAATGGGCTGCAGTGCCATGAGCCATATAGCATAGATATATATGGTCATAGCAATTAGTTCGTGGCCATACATGTAAGCTTGCATATATATATATATAATGGCTTCTATGCTCTATCCTCCCATCCTGACCCTCTCTGAATATAATTTTAATGAGGATAGAATATATAACATAAAATAGGGTTAAGAACGGAAACTAAATTATTTTAAGAAAAAATCTATTAGGCATTATAAAAAACAGTCCTAAAAAAAGTATAATCTTTTTTTAATAGCTTTATAATGAGGAAATGAAGAACAAGGTAGACGTTTGTAAGTGTCTAGCCAAATTTTCTTTTGTGTATTGGTCCTGAGAGATTCCATCAATAAATGTAATCCATCAGTATCAATGTTAGTATGGCGAAGATACAGGGAAGATAGTGTGTGGTTGTAGAGTAAAAGTTCAGCTAGTGACTGAGCACTGGTTGAAGTGATGCCAGGATTGTGGCAAAGATGCAAGCCAGTAACTGATTTATTATTCATCAATGATTGCGTTAGTGCAATGACTCCATCATCATTGATGGAATCATTATTGATCACTAGTGTATCTAATGAAGAACTGTTTGTTATTTTATCTGACAGCAAGACAATGACATTTTTTGTTATTTTAGTGTATTTTATATCAATCCTTTTTATTGTTCTTATATCTAGAACTTTTGACAGCAGCAAGTATGCAAGAAAAGGTGATGACCGCTTGAGGTAAATATGGTTTTGACTGCTGTTATCTTTTAGTTTAATAATCACTTCCTGACATTGATCTGCTGATGGTTTAGTAAGGAATACTCTATCATTGTCCCACTCCACCACTCCCACAGTCTCTTCTCCTAATAGTAAATATCATAGTTCAATTAATTAAATACAATAAAATAAGAATCATGATGCATTAAATTTATAAACTTGTGTGAAATATTGGATATCAATCTTCTAATTGTGATTGTATAATAAAATGTTACATCATAAAAATCATCATTATTTGTATTAAAGTTAACTTTAATTACCTGTTACAGGTTACAAATGATGCATGTATGCATACACAGTATGTGTCACGTATGATGACATTCACAGGCCCGTAGCCAGGGTTACAAAAAGGGGGGTGACAAAATATGAGTCAGTTACATGAAATGGGGGTGACAAAGTATGAGTTACATGAAATGGGAGTGACAAGTCATTGGGACTGAATGCACATGAGTTACCACAATTACATGTTTGATTTAAGCAAACAAACAAAGGTACTAACTCAAAAGGGAGGTGACATGTCACCCCAATCACCCCCCCCTGGCTACGGGCCTGATTTACAATAATTATAAAACACGGTAGCGTTACTAAGTAGGATTCACCCCCCCCCCCAAACAAAATGGCTGCCACGACTTTTGCAGCCTTGCTATACCTGGAAAACGAGCTCCTGTGCTTACCAGACTTTATAGAGGACCTTATCTTGACCAGAGGACTCCAATGGTACAACTAGCGTGGCTCTAGACCTTGTCTAAGTGAAAAGTCAAAAATCGGCGAACCGGCCGTTTTGTTCAGCCACCTTTTTCATCTTCATCATCTTCATCAACAGTCTACACTCAGACGGTACACTTCTCTAAACACCGGAAGTGTAGGAAATTGTATGGTTTCCATCATGTCAGAATTGTTAGCCATACTATTTTACTTATTTCTCTTACATAGATTATTGAACACTACTGTAACTAGCACCGTTAAGAGAGGAGAAGTTGCTTGTTTTAAATAAACAAGTTTGGTTTTCATGCGCTGAGTTTGAGCAAAGATATGTAGCCGTGAAAAATTTTTTGTTTAATAAAAATTGTTTGACTTTGATTTTTGTGCAAATCATTCACAGAATACTTGGAACCTCTACAGTCTTTCCATAGACTTAGGAAGGTATTGTCTACATGTCCTGCTAGTTTCAGTCCTAATGGAGCAGATATAGATATCAAAGAAGTGCCGTGTAATTGGTCATAATCAGGC